TTTTGTTTGGTTTAGGGAAGGTTAGAAAAGTTCAGATTAGGTCAAGGGCACACCACACACCTACATACCCCCCACACAGAGAAACACACCAATGTTGATACTCACAGGAAGTTTCCATACCCTTGAGTGTACACCAGGAGAAACTACTCTAGTTTTATCCAAAGGGCGGCTGGTGGAGTCCCCTGTCAGACACTTAACACGAGGCGTCATGGTCTGTGTCTCTTAAGAGTTCTCGGTGGTGGTGAGATAGAGCGAGTGTGTCTCAAGGTTGATCCAGGTGTCCTCTGTGCTGGAGTTAACACGCTACTGTTGGTCTGACTACATGGTGACACCCAACACCTGCCCTCACTACCCACCCTCCTCCCACCCCTTACTATTCACCCTCCCCCAACCCCTTACTATTCACCTCCCCACCACTTACCTTTTACCCTCCATTACCCATTATCACCCACCACCACTCACCCTTACCATCTCCACCAACCCACTCCCTCAGCCACCCCCCACCACCACTACCTACATCCACCATTCTTCACCACCACTACCTACCCCATTCTTCACCACCAACCCCCTCCTCTACCCAAACTCTGTAGACGTCAAGTACACAATGGGAGTAATACAATCACCCACACACACACACACACACACACACACACACACCCACACACACACACACACACCTGCGTCTGTTTCAGCATATAATAGTGGCGTGTCCTGACCTTATTATGTATGACCAGAGAGAAAACACCATTAATGTACTTAAATCCAACTGTCATACATATTGGAACTTTTTTTGTTTTGGGTCGCGTTTTTCCGAGGATAAGTTTATTTTTCCCCAAGTTTCTTTCTTGAGTTTATTTCATGAGATTTTTTTCCCCCGAAGATACGAGATGAGTTTATTTTTATCATTTCCTGAATGTACAAGTATATTCTGAGTTTACTTCCGTTGAGTTTACGTGTTGAGACGAGTTTACTTTCCCCTAAGGTACCTACACTAGTTTGCCCTTCATTGAATTTACGTGTCGAAATAAGTTACGTGTTTGGGCAAGTTCACCCTTTGAATACCCCTCTATTATCACTGTTGAATTGTTAAAATCACCCCGTCGATGTTACTGTCTGTCTACATCATAAGCACCTACGGTATTTTAGTTTCTTGGGAGCGTATACCTGGACGTGTCAAGAATACTAATGTGTGTGTACTGAAACCTCATTAATAAATTCCTATGTTAAGTGTGTACATCATTTAACAGGTAGCCGAGGTTAAAGATCATTATTTGTATTGTGGATTATGAAAGAGAATGAGGTGTTTTTTTTAAGACTGTTTATGTTTATTCGTGGTTCAGAGATTTAAAGGTAGAGATGTTGGAACGTTCATAAATCAGCATAAAATACGAGGTAAATATTGACAATAAAACCATGCTTCTTTATGGTAGTTTTTTTTGGGGGGGTCATAGTGTAGAATATTAAAAAAATAATAATAATATACTGTGTATATACAATATACATACATATACTGTGTAGAAATCTGTCAAACTCACTGAGGATATTTTTATATTATTAAACCCACTTGTCGATCAATAAAGACGGAGACCAACACCCAAGACTATGCCCCATCTTAGTAATATCAAGTGCACAAGATATTATGTTCCTGGAAACAAATATATTTGTATATTCCCTATTTCAGTATATGGCACAGCGGTAATACGCCTATTTTTCCTCGAACCCTGGCCCGTGACGTGTGAGAAAGCTAATCACAGCGTTACATGGCGCTCGCCTCCACCCAGGAGGAGGCGAGCGCCATGTAAACAATGGCATTTCTGACCACACCCTGCAAAATACAGTATTTATCAAATGCTGCAGCTACTGAGACTGGAGGGGGGACGGAGTAACTACCAAGAGCAGACACGTTATCGAGAACAAATTCCGGCTTGAATGTCATGTACACTAATAATGACACGTTCCTTGATAAGAGAGAAGGTACATCAACCCGATACAGTAGGAGTTGTAGAACTGTTGTACAAGAACAGGAGAATCAACCCAGAGAAATGCGAGTTCAGTATTGACGGATATGACTTATTTACGAACCTTTCTCAAGAAACTTGCAAGAGGGGTGTGGTTATCTATGCTAGGCAAAACCTTAGAGCCAGTCAGGTGAGGGTACAGGGAGAGGATGCTTTTAAAGCATCCACGTGGTGTAAAATTAGATTAAAGGGAGATTTAATAATTGTCGGGTGTATTCACAGATCCCCAAACTGTAGCTTACTAAACCAAAGGAACTTAAGAGCCTTAAGACAACGCAACGATGCTCAACCCTAGCCACCTCCTTATCATGGGGGACTTTAACTATGGCGACATCGACTGGAGAAATGAGTTCACGCCAAATGACAATTTATACTTAGATTTTGCCAAGCTTGATAGCGTACCCCATGAAATGCTGAACATTAAACTGGAAGGGTACGGGATTCGGGGAAGTGTCCTAGCGTGGATCGGAGACTTTCTCCATGACCGCAAGCAGTGTGTGGTGATTAATGGCTCGGAATCATCATGTGTACCCGTCGCAAGCGGGGTTCCACAGGGCAGTGTATTGGGCCCGCTGTTATTTGTTTGCTTCATAAATGACATGCTTGACGCTGTACATTCCTCCATACAAATGTTTGCGGATGACCCCAAGTTATTTAGGGAAATTAAGAACCAAGCAGACTGTAAAGAGCTGCAGAAGGATCTCTGTGGGCTCCAGGAATGGTCGAAGAAATGGCTGCTGAGATTCAATATCAAGAAGTGTAAGAGGATGCACCTGGGATGTACCAACGGTAAGGAGGCGTATCATATGTCCCAATGGGACGAAAAAACTACATTAATTGAGACTGAATGAAAAGGACCTGGGTGTGTATGTTGACAATGAGCTGAAATTCTCGGGCCATTGCGAGAAAAAGGTGAATCAGGCAATTAAATTATTAGGTGTTATAAGAAGGTCGTTCAGATATGTAGACGGTCCGTCCATCGTAACGATCTTCAAGAGTGAGGTGCTTCCCCATCTGGTCCCCGAGATATGCTAGGGACTGTCAGTTGATTGAAAATGTCCAAAGGAGGGCCACCCTGAGAGATTGGAGCGCCTACAATTGCCTAGCTTATACTACAGACGGGCAAGGAGGGACCTAATTGGGGCGTATAAACATCTCAGAGGGCACTACTAAGTCGAGTGTCCTTACTGAGCTGGCGGACGCTCGCCCCACAAGGGGTCACAGCTCAAGGTTGAAGAAGCCGCAAGTCCAGAAAACTGTGAGGGGTAACTTTTCGGCGTGAGAGATGTGAACTCTTAGAACAATCTGCCAGAAAGTGTCGCAACGGCACTGAGTGTGAGCTCATTCAAGACCAGACTTGACAAGCACTGGAGCAGATTCAGATACATTCAGGAGGCAGTGCATGCCCAGTACTTGCCAACTGTACGTAACAGAGACGTGACCGATCGCGCAAGTGGCTAACGAGCCGATCAGTGGTAAAGAGGATAAAAGTAAAAGTAAAAGTATAAAAGTATTAGCGTGACAACTTTAACCTGGCGGGTCTGCTCCGGGTTCTCCGATTTCCTCCTGTTCTATCACTGACACACCTTGATCTCAGCATTATTTATAACTGTTAACTCTTCATTTACAGATGTTTAAATTCTGTAATTCTGAAAAATGTAAACCCGTCTCTCATTATTCCATATCTCTCGCTATTTTTATTCCTCTAAAAATTGTCACTTTTATTCCCCGAGGCTGGTGATATGAGAGCGTTATCTGGTCCCTGTATCACAGTTAGGTTAATGAGACAGATTTAATGACAACAATATAGTGTCCAACTCGGCCCCAGACTGTGAGCTGTCTCGTAATGTGTCATCGTCTTTCCAATAGGCCTACTTTTTCTTTAATGTAGTATTGTACTCCGGCGTTTTTTTAAAGTAGAAAGCAATTACTAATGACCTCAGAATATCTCCTAATATCAAGTGCACATGGCTTCAAAATGGCCTTAAAATGCGTGACCTCCTCCTTTATATTCCTGGATCCGCCCCTGATGTCGTCGTCTCTCAGGTCTCTCCGTAGAGGAATCTGTCCCTTGAGTTCTGATTTTATTCTATTTTTGATCGGTGGATGATAATTCTCGTGTCTTAATTACACACTTTACATACTAATTAGTTGAATCTCGCGCGTTTATAATATGAAATAGTGTTACGTCGCTAGCATAGCTGTGTCGCTCGCTGATTGGCTAATGTTAGTGGTGTTACTAATTTTCAACAGGAAGAGGATTCATTTATTTCATTGCATATACGTGATATTGGTTGTATTAGTGTTAAGCAAAACTCAAAATAGTTGTACAGGGTCCATTGAAATATGCACTGAGAACTTAAGCAATAATAAATAACAAAAATATGTTTCGTTTACCACTGAAACTTTGCAATACTGCCGGTGTTTGCAGACGACAAAGATTCGGTTCACCGCACTACGCGAACCTTACCCGGAACATTCCTTTAGGTAAAGGGTTGAGGAGAAAAGCGGAAGAAAAAATATATTGAAAGAGTCAAGATAAATATGAACTAGAAATACAGTAGATTATTTTGTATAGAAAGATAACTTATCTAATCTGATGATATTGGCAAACTTCACAAACTTTAAATTTAAGTGAACATGTGGTGAAGAGGATCAATAAAATATATAATAAAACCATATCAGTAACTGCAGGGTGTGACAAGATTATGCCACATAATGTGACAGTAACAGTGACAGGCACTAGAAGTTGTCAATGTGGCTCACAATGATAATTGTTAGTGGTTGTCTTTTGTACAGTACATAATTAGTAAACCACACTGATAGCTTTGTTTTAGCTATTTCCTTTTTGTGAAACAAATTAATTGTTCCCACCATCCATATACTAAATTTGCAAAGATACTGTATACATACAGTACAAAGTTATCTTTATCATAAATATACAGTATATGAAGAAGTTTCGAGAAAGTAATATAAATAGGTAAAGGCGCGAGGTGTCATAGCGAGACAAACATTGTTGTTTTGATGGAGCAGCTGAGCAGCGTGCCCTTGTTACCCTCCACCCTCCGTTCTTACAACTATTTTATTTAAACTAAGTCAGCGACACTTTAAAGTAAGTGTTTGACTTACCTGTGTCATGTACTTTTAGGTTAAGGTATATTGTCAAGAAGAAATATAGAGGGAAGTGGATAAAGTAGTATTGATCTGGTCGTGGTGTTGACCTACCAAGTGTGAGCCTGGATGATGGTTGACCCCAACACACTCATTAACACCTGTACCCTAGTCTCATATAACATAAAAATATATCTCCTACACTTTCAAATTAATATCCATGAGCGAGATAGGATATAGACTATCACTGAAACTTCAATAGAGTTGAAATGTGTTTTCAGGTAAATTCATATTTTCTAAAATTACATTATACTGCATGTATACTGTAACTCTATTATAGCATAATATAGGTAAGAGTACAGTGTATGGGTTTTCCAAAAATAAAAAATGAAACAAAAAAATCTCTTGCTAAAATACTCCAAAACAATTGCACACTAATGTTGTGAACACTGCACCATTGATGGGTCTGTTACATTCTGTTTATTCCAATATAATAGATAAATCCAAGATAACTCCTAAAGTTTGTCAAAGACTGACACATTCATTCACTCCTATTTGTAAGTTTTCTACATCACCCAGAAGAGTATTGTATCATCTTTAAACGGCAACTGATTTACCTATTTACACTCCTTAGCCCTCTCAGTCAAGCTTTTTTTTTTATGGGGATCAGCCCGCCCGGACAGAGGTCACTGACCCACATTGGGGCCTGGGGGCAACGAAATACAAAAGTGGAAAAAATTAAACAAATCAAGAGTGAGGAATTTTCCATATTCCCATCACTCTTACTGTTTACCATTGTTTGTATACCCAAACTGTACATAGTTTGTATACTTGCATGGTCTATGTATATTGTATACCTAAACTGTCTATGTACAGTGCATGCTGGACTGTATACCTGCATTGTCCATATACTGTACATGCTGACAATTTTACAGAATAAGTATCTGTCTATGTATTTACAGTAATTATCTAATTTTCAGAATGCAGAGCCAGTGCAGAAAAGAAATTCTATTATTGCTTGTGGTTGGATTAAGCTGTTTGGTGGCACAGGTCATTCCAGACACCAGTAAGAGCAAAGAAGGCAGTCCAGGTAGCAGTAATGATGGAGACAAAAGCAAGAATAATAATAGTAAAGAGAATCTCAAATCTGCCAAGCTGCCTCCATGTGCTTCTTGCAAGACTCTGACAGAATCTTTCAAAAAGGTATTGTATATATGACATCAAACTGGTGCACTGTAAACACATAAAGATTAGGCGCCCAAACTTAGTTCACCCTACAATTAGACACCCTGATGCTAACCTAACCTAATCCCCATGGGTAGTGTTAGTGTTTGATCATCAGGTGAAATATGCTGGGATGCCTAATCCTAACATGATCCAAACTGGTGACTATTTAAGTGTTAATAAAATACAGGTTTACAGGTTGAGTGTCAAGAGTTCTTCAAGTTCTGACTTCTGCTTTGAGGGTCTTGATAAACTCTTTGTATGACCGTGTTTGCCATTTACTCTGAGGATGGTGGTTTAAGATGTTAACCTTAGTGAATTGTTTATTATCCTCACATAATTAACTCTTAATCCTAAAGCAGTTAACCTTCATCATCAAAACTCAAAAGGCAAAATCATCAGCCTCACAAGGTTAAACCATCATTCGCAAAAGTTAAAAATATCATCCTCAAAAAGTTCAGACTTGTTTAAAATTAAATAGTCTTGTCACAAACTCTTACATGCTCGTATACTGTACGTACTGTATACATTTACTCGGGACCCCCTTATGGTGCAGTAGCGCCTACCGTAATTCATCCACTGAACAATGAATAACCTTAATTTATTCTCCTTTCTTAAGGCCCAACAAATGCCAAACACTAAATCTTGTGTGAAAAATGGAAGGATAATTTGAATTGCATGAAGATTAGGTACCCCGAGTTATTTCACCTGATAATTAATTACCCTGATACTACTTGATGGGTAGGTTAGAGCTATGGTCTTTAATCATTAGTTGAAATGAAGTAAACTGAGGTGCCTAATTTTCATGTGATCCAATAATTTACACCCTGCTCCCACAGGGGATAGAGTCAACGGCTCGTGGCAAATTTGAAGGTGGAGACTCAGCCTGGGAGGAGGAGAAGATGATGTCCTACAAGAAATCAGAAGTACGATTGATAGAGATTCAAGAGAAGCTGTGCAGAGATGTGGAGAGAGGTCAGAAACAGGTGAGGGGGGAAAATACCTTAGTGAATTATTTTAGCTACAGTATACACTTTATACCAAGCATAATTTTCTGTGTTGTATACACATATAGTATACATATATATAACTAATGTCATACTTTTCACTAACTTGAATTGCTGTATATTTGTGTACAACAGTGTGAGGCAGGTGCGGAGGAACATGAAGGACTGCTAGAGGATTGGTGGTTTAGAGAGCAAGAAACACAGCCTGACCTTCACACGTGGCTCTGTATTGACACACTCAGAGTCTGTTGCCCCACTAATCACTATGGTCCTCGATGCCTTCCATGCAAAGGGGGCATTGAAAACCCTTGTGGTGGGAATGGCAAGTGTAAGGTAGCTATTCATTGTTATCTTATTGTACAGTATTTGACTCATTATGATGCACCACCATAATTTAATATTTCATACTCATATGGATGATGCCAGTGTGTGTGTGTGTGTGTGTGTGTGTGTGTGTGTGTGTGTGTGTGTGTGTGTGTGTGTGTGTGTGTGTGCGCGTGCGTGCGTGCGTGCGTCAGGGGTTAACAAGGAACTTATGGTCTTGTTGTGGAATAGCAGTAAGAATGAAGAGTTATACTGTACAGTAAGTCCTCGCTTAACGTCGTGGTTCCGTTTCTGAAAACCGCGGCGTTAACGGAATCAATTTTCCCCATAAGAAATAGATAAAATACGGGAGTTACGTTCCTGAGCCTCCCCTTGCCCCATGAAATACTTTATATATACAGAAATTCAATGGCATTTATATAGAAAATAGTATATACTGTATATAAAGAACAAAATAATTTTGTATTGTACTCACTGATGGACGGCGGGAGCGGAGGAGGGTGGTGCCTCCTCCTCCCGCTCTGTCTGGTGTTCCTCGGCTGCTGTTTGCTCCTCCTCGCTTGTAGGCTGATGTGAAGATGCTGCTGCTGCCTTCCCACGACAAAAAAAAGAATCCAGCTTTGACTGCTTAATGCTTCTCTTCTTCTCCTTGTAGATCTCATTGTAACAAGCAAGACTGTCATCAATGTTGCGTTGAATCTTTGAGCTACGTTCTCTGTTTGGGTTATCATCAATGAAAATTTGCAATCCTTACTGAATCATGTTGAATGCTTCTGCCATCCTCTTGGTAGTTAGCATTTGTTGTGTTATTTCTTCGTCGTCGTCAACGGGACTGTGTTCTGTTAGTTGTTACAAATCCTCATTGGTGAGCTCTTCTGTATGGGATGCCAGGACTTGCTCAATATCCTCTGATTCCAGCTCATGAAAGCCTGCCTCTCTAGCCAAGCTGAGGATATCCCTGTTCACTGCTGGGACTAAGTCCGTGAATCCCGTAAAACTGTTGACACACTCGGGCCACAATTTACGCCACACACCATTCAGGCAACTTTCTGAAACTTCTTCCCATGCCTTGCCAATGTTGTCGATTGCATGAAGAATGTTGAAGCCCTGCCAATAATCTTGGATTGTAGGTTTATTTTCTCCGTCAGTAGCTTTGAGCAGCTGGTCCATGGTATGTCGTAAATAATTTGCCATGAATGCGGCGATGACGCCTTGATCCATAGGCTGCACCAGTGCTGTCGTGTTGGAAGGCAGGAAGACAACTCGAACATTGTCATGTAAGTCGTCGATATTGGGAGGATGAGCTGGAGCATTGTCAACGACAAGAAGAATTTTGAAGTCTAGGTTCTCCTGGGCACAGTATTCCTTCATTGCAGAGATGACATACACAGTTAACCACTGCCTAAATATGGCACTGGTTATCCATGCCTTCTTATTTGCCTTGTAAATGACAGGAAGGTGTTCCTTGGAGTAACCTTTCAGGGCTCGTGGGTTGGCAGCGCGAGAAATTAGCATAAGCTTCAGCTTGAAGTCGCCAGCAGCGTTCCCGCCAAGCAGCAGCGTCAAACGGTCTTTTCCCGTTATAAAACCTGGCTCTCTTTTCTCTTCCTTTGAGATATAGGTTCTATCTGGCATCCTCTTCCAAAAGAGACCAGTCTCATCTACATTAAAGACTTTCTTTGCTGAGTAGCCTCCTTCCTAGATAATGTTTTTTAATTCAAGCAGGAATATCTCTGCAGCAACCGTATCTGAACTAGCAGCTTCACCAGTCATCTTAATGTTATGGAAGTTATAACAGTACTTAAAACATTGAAACCAACCTTGGCTAGCCGTAAAGTTCTCTTCCTTTGATCCTTCACCCTCTTCTGCCTTTAAGTCATCAAACAAGGATTTTGCTTTATGCTGGATAACCATAAGGCTCACAGGGGCATTGTGTTGATTCTGGTCCTCCATCCACACAGCCAGCATCTTTTTCATCACTTCCAGCACTAGCCTTAATCTTGTCTGTGTTGGTCCGGATAGTACGCACGTTGTGGGGGTTAGTCCAAGCACACCAGCAATGTCCACCGCACGTTCCCCTTCTTCAGAACAGGTTAAAACCTCCATTTTCATAGCAAGGCCAATGGTCTTATGTTGCTTCTTCACAAAACTAGCATCAGTAGCACTTGATGGGTGCTTGGAAGCCATTTCGAATGGTTGGAGTTCAGGATTACGAGCAAGAACACTTGAACACGTAAGAAAGCTGTGGAAGCCTAACAAAGACTGGCGTCACTTGGGTACGCTGTGTGACGTTCTGCGAGTGAGAGATAACGCTCCAAGCTGATAGAGCGTAGTGTGGCAAGACGAGAGTGATGCACCATACAAAGTAGTCCGTGACGGTAACCGAATTATTGGTATCTAAAGAGTAGCGACGTTATAACGAAACAACGTTAACAAGGGCAACGTTAAACGAGGATTTACTGTACTGGAAAGATGTAAAAGTGAAAACCAAAAAATTATTAATACTGTAGCTGTATTATTTTTTGTTGTTTTCTTATGCTACACCACAACACATCTGATACAACATTTCATAAAGAAGGAGTAACAGTCAATGAGGGCTTCACCAAAGGGAGTGGGAGGCAGTGAGGACATCTCTGGTGTACACATTCCCCCCACCTGTACAGCCATATTTAATGACTTATCCCCCTAGTGGATTGGTAGAATATCTCTTAAGCTATAACAACACTTTACACCATAAACTACACAGTACATTTATATAAACTGAATTTAATCACAAATGTACTTTACAGGGTGCAGGGACGAGAAAAGGAAGTGGAGATTGTTCTTGCAATCCAGGATACAAAGGAGACATGTGTGATGCCTGCACCTATGGGTACTATGAGGCCTATAAGGATGACACAAAGTTGCTGTGTGAACAGTGTCACAAGGCGTGCAATGGCCCGTGCAGTGGGGTAAGTGGAAGTCATTTTCTTAACTGTATTGGGTCATTTGATATGAGAAGTGGTAACAATTATCATTATATCCCAAAGATGCTTATGTTTTCTTTCAAGGGTCACAGAGTCGGTTAGGATTCAATGGAATTTTCAGGAATGTAGCCCTTCTATTGGACAAGGAAAGCCTTTAGTCATGGTGTCTGAGAAATTATATTAATGATCTACTGTAGTAGCTATGACATCTAGAGAGATATTTTAATATCTTGATAAATTATGATAATTTGAACTGTTAAATTTTCTTGTATCTCAGTCAGTGTGGTCAGAAGTCTTATGTAATTATCAATGATGGTTATGTTCATCAACATGTTTTTTTTATCCTTTTCAGCCTGGTCAGAAGTCTTGTGCAGCATGTAAAGAGGGTTGGCTCATGGACACAGAAAAAGGCTGCCTGGACATCAATGAGTGTGCTGTTGACAAGACACCATGCAAGAGAAACCAGTTTTGTATAAATAATGAAGGATCATATTCATGCTTAGGTCAGCTCTGTGTGTGCATTTCTGTTTATGCTTTTGACAGTTTCCCAGCATTAATTCAAATACATTACATTGTTTGGATGTTGCTTTACTCTGTTAATAATTTTAAAAATAAAAACACCATAGCAAACACATTTTGGTAAGGCCGTGGTAGAGGATGATTGACTGTGGTGTGTGTGTGGGGGGGACCATAAATAAATACAGAAATGGAAACAATAAAACAAATCAAGAGTGAGAAACTATATATATGTTGGGTTGCCAAAGTAAGAGAAACAATTAAGACCCTGCAATTGTGTGTAAATGAGGCAGAAAGTCCATAAGATCAGTAACCTGTGACTTGGTCAAAATTTTTGTGATGCAGGGTCTACCATTAGACAACACATAATGCTTCCAATATCTTCCCAGGCAGTGGTACCTGCATGTTTGATAGCTGCCTACTACCTACTATGTGTCAACTTTGATTGTAAACATCCTACACCTTGCTGGCTTTCATGATTGAAAGAAAAACACAATCTGTGCAGAACAAATATTCAGATTCTGTATCTTCCATTTTGAAATACAGCTATAGATTAAATCACAAGTGTGATGATTCTATATGTACATTGCTTATTATCTTGTTTCAGAATGTGACAAAGCATGTGACGGTTGTTCAGGTGATGGTCCAGACATGTGCGACAAGTGTGCTGAGGGGTACAAGCTAGATAAGGACTTGTGTGTCGGTGAGTAGAACAACTGACTTTAATGTTGAAACTTGCATGACTTCTGTCAGGGGTTCAGGGTTGTCATAATACTGTTTATAGAACCTGTGTCTGTCTGTATGTCTGTCTGAAAGACATTTAGAGTGTGTCTCCGAGCTTGAAATTCAGGATCGTGCCAACCTTGAATCCTTGACATGACCCAATATAGTATGAATAGTTTTCTGTAGTTGTTGAGAGTTGTATGATGGATATTACCACACAACACCAAGGAAATGTGTTCCTACATTTTCTCATAATCTTTGGTGCATGTAAACTCTATGTATTTTTACTGTAATTTTAGGAAGTTACACATTTTTGTAATTGTGTGTAATAGTACTGTAGTTTAAAATTCCTTTACAAATTTAGACCATTAGATATTATTATACAATGTTACACCATGCTGGTGAATATATTATATTCATAAATGCAAATTAGGATTTTATAAAGGTAAAGGGGAGCAATAAAAATATAAAAATTTTCTAACATACAGTTCAGTACTCATAAATTATTATATTGATTCATAAATAACATCACCCATATATACAGGTAGAGAAGGGTCAGGGGGTGGTGTTGGTTTTGTGAGTTGATAAGTATACATGTATATAGAAGAGTGTAATGTACTGTAATGTGACCACAGCATGTATAATATTATTCTCTACAGCACTACTATACCTGTACTGTACTTACATTGACTGTACATTCAAAAACAAAATTCGTGTCGCGGTTTTGTCCGAAGATTAAATATAACTCGTGAAACCTTATGAGAGCCCTACCGCAAGGCAGAGCGCACCAAAAGCCTTAGCCCTTCGGCATATGTTTTCACCAAATTTCACGACACGACTTTTGTTTTTTATTGTACATCATATAAAAGCCTCATTTGTTACCTGTACTGTAATTCATTATGTAACACAACAATGCACAAAATTTGCATAAACTGCATGTACAAAACACTTCACTAAATAAACTTAGTCATTGTCAGATGTAACGATTTGATCCACTAGTCTTTCAGTGGGACTTACTCTGGTAGCTAAGAGAACAGTGTTGGTGGGGAGTGAACAGTTTCACAAAGGGTGTATGTGAGAACCACTTTCTTGATAGGTAACTCGTTGAGGTTATAATGGATTTAGTGTACAGTATACAGTAGATGTACTAGACCTCCGCCTTCTTGCAGTTTGTGTATGTCATTCAAAAAAGTAGTACAGAAATCTGCCCATTAGCTGGAATAATTGGTGTAGAGCGGTTCCGGGTATGGAGACGAATTTTCTCATCTCCAGAATTTTTCGGGGTACCGGGGAAGGTTTTCCCGGAGTCTAAATTACACATCTTGCACGGACAGACACAGAGCTGTATTAATTTATGCAAACACCACTGTACACGTACAATGTATTGTAAATAAACAAAATATACTACTGTATACACTATACCATATTCACCAGGAGGAATGGTGGAAAAATGAAGCTTGTGAAATGCAAAAAAGTGAGGATCAACACATGGCAAGGCCCCCCTCCACTCATCTGATGGTAACTCCCTAATTAAAGGCAAAGAAGGCATCCGTCAGTGCTGGAAAGAGACTGACATTCCCTGCTCAACCCAAACACTGATTTGGATGTCCTTACTACCCAGCAAGTCTCTCAGCACCGGGAGCTGACCTACCCTTGGCTTTCCTCCATCCCATGATGAGGTAGCTACTACCATCAAGCAGATGAAAAATTACAAAGCCACAGGGCCTGGTCGAATCCCAGCCGAGGTGTATAAAGCAGGAGAACCTCTATTTACCAGCCGTCTCCACTCTCTCCTGGAGAATATATGGGAGGAGGAGGAAATCCCCAGGATCTTAAAAACGCCTCCATCGTCAATATTTCTAAGAACAAGGGAGACCAGCCTGACTGTGGCAACTACCGTGGGATCTCGCTGTTGTCTGTAGCGGAGTCTTCCTAACCAGCAAGACATGGGTCACATACAGGAGGCACCTCAAGGCACTTGAAAACTTTCACCAATGTAATCTACGTTCCATCCTCCGAGTTTGCTAGGAAGACAAGAGAACAAATGCCAGTATTCTTGCTGACACCAACTATAGGAGCACTGAGGATACATTATCCATGAACAACTATGTTGGACTGGCCATGTTACCCATATGGACAACAGTAGACTGCCAAAGCAGCTACTTTACAGTTATCTAATGAATGGTTAACGTAATGCGGGCGGGCGACGGAAAAGGTATAAGGATAGTCTTAAAACAAACCTGAAAAAGTGCCAAATCAACCCCCTCACCTGGGAGGCGATCACTCCACATCAAAACACTTTGGAGGAGCACCACACGAGAAGGTGTCAATACTTTCGAGTTAGCCCGACTGCATACCGAGGCAGACAAACGCCAGCACCGGAAAGATGCTGCCACCGCCCCTCCTGCGCTAGATGTAACCCTCCACACATGCAACATCTGTGGACGGCCCTGCCAATCCTGTATCGGCCTCTCGAGTCACCTCAGAGCTCACCAACGAAGGTGACATCGTAAATAATTCATATCATTCTATCATAGGTGGATGATTGTCATACTCGACTTCAAGTAACGGCAAAGTAGTAGTAGTGTATATATCAATACAACTAATATCTTCTGTCAGAGCTGAAGTCCAAGATTTATTAGATGTGAAATCTAACAGAACCTCATCCAACCACCAGCCAGCTTAAAGTTGTATATAGCATGTGGAAACTTTCCTACTTTAGTATGACAGTTACTAGTGTCTGATACAGCCTAGATGGGTCAGCACATTCCATCATATTCCCAGAGAGTAAAGTTTGTATATTCATAGTGGAAGTTGTACTTCTGCCCGTCTTTAAGAATTTGGTTGTCATTTTTAGTTCATTTTACTCGATAACAATTCATTTAATATTAAACACATCATTTGGATACCTACAACTTGTGAATCATACATTTTAAGTTTACTTAATTGTAATCCTTTCTTACATACAGTACCGTACAGTATTTGAATGCTAGGAGGTCAGAGATCCTAACATTATAAAAAACCAATACCACCCATCTAAACCATATCAGACAAAAAAAAAATATTCAGCAGCAGCTGAAGTTTCCACAGAGTATTCTTTACTTTTGATGGGCTGATAGCTGGGTGGACACCACCAGGGACTCGGTTCAGCCCTTGAAAGAGATTGTACTATTTTACCACAGTGAGTTACTTGGCCTGTTGTACAGAAGCTAATACTGTATCTTGCCTGCCATATGTAACTTATCAAAACACAACAGTATTTTAAAGTTGTCCAGGCTTTAAGGCCAAGCTTGTTATATATCTCAGACTAATGTTTTACTTAAATGACCCCAATAAAGTTTCCCCCTGATGTAAGTGAAGAATATTTTTTGGCCTATAGCTCATTGGTCAAGTGACATATAAGATCATTTGATCAAACAATCCCTTGGCATGCTTTTTCCTGACACAGAACAGTAAACAGCCAACTGCCCATTCAGTCTAGGTTCATGAAGGAACCTGCAACCGTTATCTTGCACCTGCTTCAAAATGCCAGTAGGTCTTATCATGTACACCAAGACAAGCCCTTAAATACCTTAGGCCGAGGCCGCACTGAGAGCGGGCACGTGTTGTTGCCAGCTCGCGCCCACTGCCAGTGCGGCCGTGTCTGTGGGTTACAATGCTGCAAAGTCTTCTGCGCCTGCCTGCACTCAGTGCAGCCGCGGCTCTAGGGTTTATCCCGGTGAACCCAATAGAATCACTGGCTCATGAAGTAGCCACTGGATCATGTTTGGAGTTTTAAGTTACTGCATCTTTATAGTTTCCATCTAAGGACTGAGTAGTTATTCATACACTGTAATATGAAGTCACAGACATTCAATACAAATGTTAAGATTACCAGTATGAAATGTATTATCTGAAGAAATCTGATTTGTTAATCCATTTCATTAGGGAAGGTGTTATGATAGATTTCTGGGTTGTGAGTGGTCATATTGATCTTAGTCTGCATGAAGCATCGTCATTCTTCTGGACCGTGTAACCATAGTGTAGATATGCTTATATTTCTGATTAAAAGTACCTGTACCGTACTGTTTATGTACATTACAGATTTAAATGTACAATACCCTGTACTATTATAAAAAAAAAATCTTAATTTAGAAGCACAGTCTTGATTTAGAAGCACTGTACATACAATCCTGCTATAGAATTAACTGAATTGTACATGCATTCTGGATTTAGAATCCTGTATTGTACTTGGTATGTACATTCCTGATTTACAGATATGTACTTAACCTGGTTTATAATCATGTAAAGTACTGTACATTCCTACTTGGACATTTTGTACATTATTTATGATCATGTACTGTATAGTCCTAATTTAGATATACTGTACAGTATGTACATTCCACCTTAGTTAAGAGTTAATGCTAATTACATGAGACACTTGACTAGGATTTCTTCCTAATTCCTGTTTCTTGATGGTGGCTGTGTTACAGACAATAGTGCGCAGGAGCGAGACAAACACATGACATTCGCACGTTACGTCACGTACGCTGGTCTAACCTTGGCCACATGCATCATCCTGCAGAAGAACACTATAATTGCTGCCATTGTTGGTGTAAGCGTGGCTGTTTACATCAGCTTCTCAGAGTACTACCTCAAGGACACGCCCGCACCCCCAGTCACACCTCAGCTTCCGTCCTCTCTGTTTTCTCAGGACATAATCAATTAAAGATGATAATTACAAGTACTGTACTGTGTTACATTTGTAAATGTGATCATCTGGACTTAAAACTGGGATACCAGCTACCATAATGAGTTTCATATTCTGTATACTACTAGATATACTGTATACAGGACTTCACATTGATTAAGAACAATTATTACGAGTATTGTGTGTGTAAATGTGAGCTTCAGGACTGATAATTTGGGTAAACAATATTTATATACGTATATATAGAGAGAGAAGTGGAGTATAAGTTACAATTTTGGACTTATACAATACATATAAATATGAATTGCAAGTGAGCAATATCTATGAAGTACAAGTAACAAAGTTAAGTACAGTACAGTATTGAGAATGGGCATTGGTATGTGAGATTTAATACTGTACATAGTACTGTATGTTTATTTTATTTTTTAAATGTAAGGTAATTACATTTTATAACCTTACTAATTTGAGTGAGATTTTCACAGTTGTTGGTGCTTTAAGCAGTTGTGTTAAGTGGGAGATCTTCATTTTCTTTTTCCCTTTTTTAGTTGCTTAATACGGTAGGTACACCAGTGGTAGTAATGATTCTTCCACTTTAGATAATAGATTGGATTCTTCTTTTTAAAACTTTTATCTTTTTGTTTATTGGTTATAAGTTTTATATTGTTTATTTTTGGAGGGGGAAGGGGGATCATAAATTAAACTTCATACTTATACTGTACAGTATTCAGAATGGTCACACGTTAGGAACATTATTTTCATTGTAAGAAAGGATTCAGTTAGAGGTGTTTTTTCCTAATTTAGAATATGTTGAGGTGTGTTGTAGCAGGGATGTGAGTTACTGCTCTCCACACTCCTCTGAACTGATCCAAGTGACAAATTAATGATCATCACTAAATTGTCAAAAGAGTATCAGGCCCTACACAGTATCTCAGTCTCTGTTAACCCCAACCATATTGAATTTAACCATACTACAGGTATTGAACCAGGACCTCCTATGACTAGAGCTTATTTGATGATTCACCTCAAGTTTATGGTGAGGGGGTGTGGGTGGGGGGCAAGTGCTGGGGTAAATAAAAATTATTTCGCATTTATAATTGTAATTTTTCTGTTCTTTTTGTACAGTTACCTTATGTCTTTCAGTTATGTAATTTTATTTTGTGTGTAGTAAAATATGCTACATATATATTTAGAGTGAGTGTATGATGTATTATTTAAGGACATTATTATCATGAATTGGATGAGGTTCATGTCAAACTTGTGATATTATTTTTTATTGGAGGGAATTGACGAGTCATTTGATTTTTATTATACCACATTGTTGTACTTTGTAAACTCTTCAGTTAACTGAATGTAAAGTTACTTATGTTGAAGTGAGGATTGTAACCTGAATTATCATTAATTGTGTTGTTTTGTACTTTTCATGGGAATACTTTTCCAGCACTAAACACCTGTCAGTCTTAGCTTTTTTTACTTCATGTACAGATGTTTTACAGTACTGTAGTGTAGTGTGTCATCTGCTCGCACAAACTTGACCTTAAAAGGTTTCATAATATGGTTGCTACATGTTAGGAAAGTTGCATTGTTGTAGTATGCAAAACAAAAATACTGAGCCTTTTTTCTTATTTTTTAAATTTTACCTTTTTCACATTATTGAAATTTAAACAACTTGCAGCCTATACGAATTTATTGTACAAAGATAAATTTCCAATAATTTAGTTATTACGGATTAAATTATTCAGTGTTCATATGTTGGGAAATATTTTTATTAATTATAGTTATTACGTATTGAGTTGCTCATCTGTGGTACCTGTACGACCTCTACATATAACACTACTGTACAACATAAAGGAAGACCTGTAGAGTATCAAGACACATTTGGCAAGACAAGAGATGACTATCAGTGAGGGACATCATGTTGGTCTTGATCCCGACCACCTTGAGCATGGCAGGGAGGAGGCTTACAGGAGTGAAAAAGATACTGTGTTCAGTAGTCATATAAACACTTTCATTTATATACTGTGTGATCACATCATGGACTTTCAACATGCTGGTTACAGGAGTACATACCAGTAGGTTTAATTCTTAAGTCTTGACTATGAACATATTGTATCATTAAAAGGAAACTGCTACCTTTAAAGTTGTTTTATCTGTGCATCAATGTTATACTGTATAGTGTAAACTGATCAAATAAGGATTCAGTCTTGATGTCACCAGAAGGGTCTTTGATTTGATTGGCCTAAGCTAGGTTACATTGTACTATGCTTGGTTAGATTAACATATTAGGTTAGGCTTTGGCAGATTGGGTTATGTTAATATATGCTTTGTTAGGTCAGGTTAGGCTTTGTCAGATGGGGTTTGGCTGTGTTAGATCAGGTTATATTAAACTACATTAGGTCAGGCTAGGCAACGTTAGATTGGATTAGATAAGGTCAATTTATAAAAGGATAGGGCAGAGGATGAGGGAACTACATATTGGGTACTTTATTTTTATCTTCTTGTACTTTTATCTATAGTATTGACTGTTGTTCTGTTAAGCCCTGGACCAAGTGATCAGGTTCCACCCAAAAATGCACCCCATCGCATTTGGTACTTCTTTAGTTTAACTTTTCATATTTTGAAGTCCAGGTATTGTGACACTTATTAGACAGTTATTTACAATAATTGATGACAATACAGCAAATGTTAAAACGTCAATTGACGGCATCATATTAAAAGTACTACAGTATGTATATATATATATATATATATATATATATATATATATATATATATATATATATATATATATATATATATATATATATATATATATATATATATATATATATATATATATATATATATATATATATATATATATATATATATATATATATATATATATATATATATATATATATTAAAAAATAATAATAATATTACTGTACTGTAAATAGATTTGTAGTTTATCGATAAAACTAAAACAAATACTCTAGGTACTGAATATTTGTTCATGTCAAATGGATAAGTTGGGTACAATGGGAAATTTTTAGGGGAAGGGGTCACTTAATATGATGATGCTTGTAGGCAGATATTGACATGAGAGTACTTGTCGTTTCTTACAGTATAGTGAGGGTATATAACCTCGGTCCTTGGGAAGTAATTTCTGATAATTTCCTAAGGTGGGGAGGGGGCTAATGTGCATCTCCTCCCCATCCCAGAATGATACCATCCCCCCCCTTAGCTTAAGATTAGTTATTATAGAAAAAGAGTTGTTAATATGCAGTGCATACTAGTAAACTGTTACATATGATGTTGGTGGAACCATTACTGTATGAGCAGCTTCAGTATGGTGTATCATGTTAAAGATGGTTACATTTTGAGTGGGCTCCCAGGCCTACTGGATCTCACGTAAACTTAACCTTTAGGATAGGGCAACTATTTACTGAGATAAAGTCGCAATATTAGTACAATATTCTTTTCTAAGTCAAATACTGTAACCAGAAATATTGCCAAAAAAGCTATTGTAAATTTTTCTACTATTAAATTTCTCAGATTTGTGTACGTGTCCAGTGTGCTGACTGGTTGTAGATCATAACAGGTACAGGCGGTTATATTTGGTCATAAAAAAAAAAAAACATAGCTAGTGTTTGGAAATGCTTTTATTGGCATAATTCACCTGTTGCTCACTGTCATTGACCTCCTTTCCAATCATGTTGGTTAGGTCACTTTAGGACTGGGCCCCACTTAACCAGTCAGTATCCACCATGAAATTTCTAGTTAAAATGATATCATTAGTAAACAACTTGAAACCTGTAAGCAACAAATGACCATTTTTTTCTAAATATGAAATTGTTTTTAATACTGTACTTGAAAAAAGTCAGTAACTGTCATGCTTTGTAGAAAAGGTTATATTTGGTATGGTAAACCTGTGTATCTCAGGTATTACCAGGTGTGATGCTTGATTAGAGATTTGATTAATTGATCTCAGTGATACACTAAAGGTTATTCTAGTAATCTTAAAGTATGACAATAAGAAGAAAATTACTGATTTTGTAAAATGAATATTTTATTTATTTTAATATTTATTACTATATTGTAGTTTGATACTTGAGAGAGAATTAACTTGTTGTCACTTTAGGGCAGGCTTTGTCATAACGCTGTATACTATGTGATGGGCTGTGAGACACAAGTAAAGGCCTGTATAATCATGGTTGTCTATGAGAGGGGCTGAGACACGAGTAAAGGCCTGTATAATCATGGTTGTCTATGAGGGGCTGTGAGACACTAGTAAAGGCCTGTATAATCTTGGTTGTCTATGAGAGGGGCTGAGAGAGACAAGTAAAGGCCTGTATAATCATGGTTGTCTATGAGAGGGGCTGTGAGAGACACTAGTAAAGGCCTGTATAATCTTGGTTGTCTATGAGAGGGGCTGAGAGACACAAGTAAAGGCCTGTATAATCATGGTTGTCTATGAGAGGGGCTGAGAGAGACAAGTAAAGGCCTGTATAATCATGGTTGTCTATGAGAGGGGCTGAGAGACACAAGTAAAGGCCTGTATAATCATGGTTGTCTATGAGAGGGGCTGAGAGAGACAAGTAAAGGCCTGTATAATCATGGTTGTCTATGAGAGGGGCTGAGAGACACAAGTAAAGGCCTGTATAATCATGGTTGTCTATGAGAGGGGCTGAGAGAGACAGTAAAGGCCTGTATAATCATGGTTGTCTATGAGAGGGGCTGAGAGACACAAGTAAAGGCCTGTATAATCTTGGTTGTCTATGAGAGGGGCTGAGAGACACAAGTAAAGGCCTGTATAATCATGGTTTTTTATGTACAGAACTGTACCATGATGGTCACTGTGTTATTCAATGTTGTTAAGCTCTGGACTTTAACAGTTTTCAGTGATGGAACCGTTTTCATAATGGGAATTTTCCTGAGTTGGATTAATCACCATTGTAGAGTTGGACAGTTATCATAGAAAGGAAATAATGTTCTGAGCTGGAACAATAAGCATTAGTGATTTTTTTTTTTTTTAGTTGGGATAATTGTTAGTAAAAGAGCCAACTTAAATAATTGTGTTACTCATAGCTATCACTGGTGTCTGTAAGAATAATTAATATTTAAAAAACATTTTCTTTGTTAGGTATTGTAATTATATTGTATTAGTTTATGCTTGTCTGTGGCACAGCATATAAAAATACAGTTGTTCTATTTCTTCTTATTCTTCTACTTACTCTTTGAAAACACTTTTGTTATGATGGCTGGATGTTTCATAAAATGTTTTACAGTAAAACTTCAATATAACAAACACTTGATATATTGGAAAAATAGTTTTATCAGACTGGCCTTCCTCCCAATTGATCCAATATACTGTAATAAGGTTTTCTTGTATAATACTTTGAACACTTGTAAAATAATTTTTCAGTTCAAACACGTTACTGTATAATGTAAATTTGTACTGTACTCGTATAATCCTTGACTATAAATGCTTTGGTAATTTTTGTATTCAGGGTTATATGGTTTTGTTTATTTGGAACATTTTTATAATATCATGAAGTATATCAGTAATGTTTGCAAGTGCTAATTGTGTTTTGATTGCCAGCTATCATTCTTGTATATTTTGCCCTACATCGTATCATTATTGATTAGCTACCTTATACACTATACAACTTTTCCGTAAACCATTTCAGAGGTGTTTATTCACAAGAATTATAGCGTTTAGCATTTCCCATGACTGTGTGTAATCTTTGTGTATTATTCAGTAAAGGGTAACAAGGAATGATGAAGAGAATAGCTTGGTATTGTCAGCCACTGGAACACTGATATTTGTATGGCAGATATACTGTAGATTGTGGCTTGTTTCCCCTGATCCTTGCTATATCAGTTTATGTGTGACTACATCAGGAATTGTGATTTATATGGTGTGTGAAGAATTGACATTAAAGTTTAACACTACTGTATTTATACTATCTTCTTAAAGGTTTAGGATAAATAATTGACACTTTCATTATCCTTCTTCAGGGCAGATTGTCAAGCACCCCAGAGGTCACAGAGCATCTTGCATCAGTGAATATTCATCACCTTTCTTCCCCCTGAAGATTATAGATATTTTCACAGGTCATAATTAATGCATATTTTTTTTAGAATGTGTGTGTACATCTGTGTACATCATCTACACAAACACTGGCTCCAAACACAACTTTATGTGAAGTTTGAACCCAAAATCCTTTAAAGCTAACCTTTACCATACTAATACTGGGAACTTCTATTTTGATATAGTTTCAAAACTGATGGCAAAATTTTATTAAAGTAAAAGCTTCTACAGTACAGTGAACCCTCACTTTACGCGGTTAATTCAACCCACGGCGGCCCGCGTAAAGTGAACAACATAACATATGGGATTAATTGAAATAGAGACCGGGCCGACCCCCAAACTCCACTTTTTCAGACACAATACCTACGTTGTAGTAAAAATAACATCTTAAATTTATGATGGTATGCACACACAATTAATAATTAAGAGAAATATCAATAATATTAGGTTTTTTAACACTTACATTAGTAGAAAAGATGGCTGGGCACACGGGGATGGGGGGTTGGTTCCGAGGCAGAGGGCAGATTATTGGCCCTCACCTGTATCACTATCCACCACAGAAGCTTGCAGGGCCTCTTTGTCAAACCCCTCAAGTCCATATCCTCACTATAATTATCACTATCACTGACTTGGGCCGGCTGTGGTGGGTGGCGGGTGAAGAACTCGGTAATGTTTTGATGACTGGGCGACCTTGTGCGCACCCTGCTCGCGCCGCTCTCCGCGTAAAGGGGTACACGCACCGCGGAATATGAGCATTCCGGTTTCGGCAGGGTACCGCGTAAACGTGGAAACGCGGAATGTGGGACCGCGTAAAGCGAGGGTTGACTGTATAATACTTTAGTGTGTGTGAGAGTTTGATTTGAAGTCTGTACAGTATAGGGGGGTCTCCGGGTTACGAACGGGTTCCGTTCCTAAGTCGGAAATGTACATAAGTTGGAACACATGCTATGTGCATACCTTAATTACATAACTATGTTTAAAATCCCACTATATGATAGCCCAAGTCCTTATAGAAATCTAAAATAACTTAATTTAAGAGAAATTAAGAAATAGAATGACAAAAT